GTTGGTCTCTCTCTCTCTCTCTCTCTCTCTCTCTCTCTCTCTCTCTCTCTCTCTCACTCTCGTGAGCAGTCCCTTCTGTTGGTTCGCTCCCGTGATCTGCGTTGGGCTCACCAAATTGAATATTCGAAAATAAATAAAGTCAATAAATTGTGTTTTTGAGCCAATTAGTGGAGCATCAGACTCCAGCCCACTCGCAGGGCTGTCACTACTCAGTAATCACCCATGATTGGGGCACTTGACTGTTCCCGCTTTTCACACATTGGCTGATCTTTCAATATTTCGAAATTAATAAAATCAGTAAATGTACTTAATGACCATTTTCAGTTAATTAGTGGAGCATCATAAACCCAGCCCACTCGCAGGGCACTCACTACTCAGCAATCACCCATGATTGGGGCACTTGACTGTTCCCACTATTCACACATTCGCTGATCTGTCAATATTTCGAAATTAATAAAATGAGTAAATGTACGAAATGAACATTTTCAGCTAATTAGTGGAGCATCAGAACCCAGCCCACTTGGAGGGCTCTCACTACACAGCAATCACCCATGATTGGGGCNCCAGCCCACTTGGAGGGCTCTCACTACACAGCAATCACCCATGATTGGGGCACTTGACTGTTCCCACTATTCACACATTCGCTAATCTGTCAATATTTCGAAATTTATAAAATGAGTAAATGTACGAAATGAACATTTTCAGCTAATTAGTGGAGCATCAGAAGCCAGCCCACTTGGAGGGCTCTCACTACACAGCAATTACCCATGATTGGGGCACTTGACTGTTCCCACTTTTCACACATTGGCTGATCTTTCAATATTTCCAAATTAATAAAATCAGTAAATGTACTAAATGACCATTTTCAGTTAATTAGTGGAGCATCATAAACCCAGCCCACTCGCAGGGCACTCACTACTCAACAATCACCCATGATTGGGGCGCTTGACTGTTGCCATTTTTCACGGATTGGCTGCCTCCGTGTCGTGGATTTCAATCCCCGTGGTTGCCACCCTCTCCATCATTCGCTGTCTCTTTCCCTCTCTGTCACGTTCCTCTTCACACTCTCACTGGTTGGCATGCCTTCATGGTTTCCTTTCTCTCTCCGCCCTCTCTTCGCACTTCTCTTACCTCTCTTGAAAGTTGAAAATCGCCAATTGAGTGAAACTTCAGCATGCTCCCCTTGACCAGCATTGWACCGCAGCGCCTCACGAACAGGTACGACCCATCACCATCTCCGCTGCAGTCTCCTGGTCCGTTGTTCTGAGACACTCGCTCGCTGCGTGCTCTGCGGTCGCTTGCCCACTGTGCACCGTTCCCTCTGTTCGTCATACTCTTCAACCGGCCCGTTCCAATCCCGAGTCTAAGGGTTTGTGTGGACTGTGTGCGCCAGGCACACAGTCCAGTYCGCGCTGCTCCTCCATGCTTGCCTCTCTTCCCTTTCAACTGAGCTTTCCCCCTCTGATCAGTGCTTTGCCGCGGTGCTCTCCAGGCACCCCTTTCTTCTCTGGTACAAAACTTGTCTCCTGGTGTACACCGGGCACATTCTCTCCCCCGCGGTGCAGAACCCCGCGGTGTACGTCTTGGACAACTTCCACTCACCGGGTACACCTTGCACAACTCCCCCCCCCGCGGTGCAGAACCTGTCTCTCCCCCGCGGTGTACGTCTTGGACAACTTCCACTCACCGGGTACACCTTGCACAACTCCCCCCTTCTCTTCTGTCCCTCTTCCCTATATGGTTCCCTGATCCAGCCCAGCGTGGACTTCGGTCCAGTCCCAACCCGTAGGCCTTCGTAGACTAGAGGTACAAAACAGGTTTAAGGTCCCAGCCCCAGCGCCAGTGCAGCGGGACCCATATAGGACCCCAACGGCCTGGATTTACTAGTGGACCAGTTCAAGTGGCCCAACTTTTACTAGTGACCCAGCACTCTTTCTTTCACTGAAAATAATACAGTGGCGTGCACCATACCGCTGCCGATCCAGGGAATCCATAACATCACCAAACCTAAAAAATAATACAGTGGCGTGCACCATACCGCTCCCGAACCAAGGAATCCATACCACCACCGAACCTGAAAAATAATACAGCGGCGTGCACCATACCGCTGCCGAACCAGGGAATCCATA